CACCCTCAGTTGAAGCTGTAATAATAATATTACAGATTTGGCAAACAATCCAGTGCCTCTTTGTGTCTGCGCTCTGGAGAGTCAAAAGTTTCTCTTTACGTCTTTTTGCAGTGGTGAGCAATGTAGCCAATCACTGACATATCTGTTGATTTCTTGAACGCAATGGCCAATCAGAGGCTTTAATGTTAGAATCCACTCACTGCTCGCAAAGCTGGAGTTTTGTGCAGCTCTGTATTCTGCACACTTGCAAATCATCTCATTATACTTAAAAGAGATATTCGTTCTGTAGTGTAGAGAGCTTTATTGATTGTAACGAAACTTTGTTGGATCCCGATGAACTAAGATGAGTGAATGATTATAAAAGGAGCGCTCTTTGCACCATAGCAATGAATGGCACAAAATATATTTAAAAATAGATGTGCATTAAGGCTACAGAACCCTCACTCATTTCGGAAGCTCCTTCAGTGGAGCACATTCAGCAGAGAACAGCATAGTTTGTGTGTGTGTGTGTGTGTGTGTGTGTGTGTGTGTGTGCGTGCGTGCGTGTGTGTGTGCGTGTGTGTGTGTGTCGGTGTATCCGCACAATATGGGGGTTTTACAGCTGCCTTAGCATTGCTATTGTTTTTTTTTTTACTGTTGTTGTAGGAAGCACATTTTGGCTTTTTTAAGCTTTGCTTTATATCGTGCACTGAGCCAAAAGTTGAGTGAGTGAGAATGAGGGATGAAGTGAAAGACACGCATAGAGAGGAGAGAGAGAATCGCTCTACCTGCTTGCCTGCTCTGTGAGCACACCATCAGTCTTTACTGGGAAATCTATGTGCCTGAACAATGTCTTCTCTAGCACAACAAGTGATGAGCCTGGCTTCATCTGCAGAAAATGAGAGAGAGAGAGAGTGCAAGGGGGCGATGGCGTGAGGGTGAGAAAGAAAGACAGTGAAAGGAAATTGTGAGCAGTTAAAAAGAGGGAGAACAGAGGAGAAGAGAAGAGAAAACAAATGCATCTCATTATCTAAGCGGGCTCCTCTGCAGTGCTCTCCTCAGTCATCAGCTCCAATTGCTTCCTTTAAATCAGTTTGAAGCCCAAGCCTTGCCCCTGTCTCGACGTGAAGCCCCTCGCTCCTCACTGCCCGAGCTGCACACAGCAATAACGCCCCCTAGTGCCTACAAACTCCAGGGAGCAACTGTCTACCTGAACAACACCGCTGAGGCTCATTACCATGTGCCAATCCTCACTAGATATTCCTTCAGTTTATTTGTTAGGGTTTCTTTCCATAGTGAAATTAAGTATTTGATAGTGTATTTGTTATGTAACGTTGCCCTTTTAAGACAAAAACTGATGCTCATGTAATCCATCATAATTTGAGAATGTTCCACAGAACGTCTTGTGCTTCGAAGGGAGCCATAAAAGTAGTAATTATCACAAATTATCTTATTTCCCTTTGACTTTATGAAATTATGTTATGGGACTGAGAATGGTAAATAGATTCTTACCAGTAGGTTCGGTCAATAAATTATCTATTAGATTGTAAATGACATCACTGTGATGAAACACTTTTGTCTTTACAGGCGACCTTGGCATTGCTGTTGTTTTTTGATTTTTTTTTGCTAATGTTGTAGGAAGCACTTTTTGGCTGGATTTAGTTTTATTTATTTATTTTTTTAAGCTTTGCTATATATCAAGCACCAAGCCAAAATTGAGCTTTAGTTTTTGCTTATCACAAATTATCTTATTTGACTGTTACTGTGACTTTTCTTTTACTATCTATTTATTTATTTATTTATTTATTTATGTATGTATGTATTAGAAAATATGAAAAAATTTAAAATATTATAATACTATATATAATTTTTTGTTATTTTATAATTTAATATTTTTATAATATGCTATATATTGTAGTGCATTTTTTTTTCTTATATATGCGTATTCAATATTTGTATTTTTTATTTTTTTACATTTATACATATAAATATATAAACATTCATGTCTTTCATTTCTAAAATAATAATTAATAATTAATAAAAAATATCAAGAACATATAAACTATTTTATAGTTAATTGAAATGTTTATTGTTTTAATCATTATGCTGTTTTCTTCTAAGCTGTTGCTGTTCAGACTATTACACAGAAAGCTGTCATACTTTATTGTCTAAGTTAAGAGTTTAATGCACCATTTACTAAGGATGTGTTTGAATCAGATTTACATTTTTCCCTTTTAATAGTTCAGCTTTTTGGTTTTGCACCGTCTAGGTTTTTTAATGCTAAAACGCTTCCTGTGTGAACAGCCTTTGTGAAGTTCATAAGCAGGATTTTATGATTTTTCCTTACACATTGTACAACCAAAAATGATCTTGTTTCACACTTTTCCATCCAATATCGAGCTCACAGTGGGTAAACTTTGCTACCAGGGTAAACCTGGACAGTGCCACATTTGAGTTCGATTCATTTGAACAGACCACAAAAACAGATTTTCACTCTCTCTCGTCAAAAGTGCCGGGAAGAGCTCTATAGCCCCGAGCGATTCAGAGGAAAGTTGCGCAGCGGAGAGGTGAGAGGGAGCGCTTTGATCGGCAGCGTGTGCGTCTCTTCTGCTGGAGGTGATTTGGAGCACTGTTACTGCTGCTCTTTTTCTTTTTTCCCTATAAGCAGAGCGCTATGCTAGATTAGCATTTAGTGCATTTCTACAGGCTTGTCGACAGCGCAGGGGCCGTGCTTCATCATCCGTCGGTGATTCACACAGGCGTTTCAATTGATAATGAGATGGTGCGCTTCTTCAGTGTCGTGCTGAGGCCGGGGAAAGCGAAAGTGCTCTGATAGAAAACAACCAAGGAACACTGCGAGGCCTTTCGTGAAGATCTTAAATAACCATGCGCAGGGTTTTGTGAGGCCCTAAGTAAGATCTTATGGGAAAATGGCCCTACTGAAGTAAAAGTTGTCATATAGCATAAAAAGATCCATAGAACCACTGCAGACAACACACTGCAGGACCATTTCAGTGAACCAAAACATATTGTTTTTGTTTCAAAACATTAAACAGTTAGGATAAATTGCATCCATTTGTTGAATAATGTGTGTTTTATAGTCTGTTTTAAGTGCATCTGGGAAACTTACAGATCTGACTGCAGTTATGAAGTAGTAATGTGAGTTTTTAAAATCTCAGTAAAAATAGCCAAAACGAAGCGAAATAAACCATGAAAGATGCCAAAGGCTTTGTTATATGTTGGACCAGTGGATAAACATAAGAGAATACATATTTTACACAACCTGTGTGATTTTTTTAATGCATGCATTGTATTTAAAGTATAATTGATAAATCTACATAGATCAAACTGCAAAATTGGAGTTATTTGCTTATTATTCAAAACAATTTTTGAAAGACGTTTCTCATGCTCACCAAGGCTGCATTTATTTTATTTAAAAAAAATATATAGTAAAAACAGTAATATTGTACAATATTATTACAGTTTAAAATAACTGTTTTATTTTTAAATACATTTTCAAATGTAATTTATTCCTGTGATGCAAAGCCTAATTTTCAACATTACTCCAGTCTTCAGTGTCACATGATCCTTCAGAAATCATTCTAATATGCTGATTTGCTGCTCAGCGCTTAATATTTTGTATGGAAATCTACACACACCACACACATATGTATATATTGAGAGAGAGAGAGAGAGAGAGAGAGAGAGAGAGAGAGATGAATGATAACTCAAAAATGCAACACTGAAAAGTGGGAAGCTAATACTTTTTGAAGACTTCGAAGACTTACATCTTTTTTTTCCCGGCAGATGATAAAACAGGTCTAAATCTGTTAGATTTACACTGAAGGATGGACCAGAGCCATATCTAGAGAGTATCAGAGAATAAAGACTTGAAAGTGGACTTTTGACTTGGCCAAAATGCCATAGCAGCCACATAGCAACATGCTAAAAACCTCTCAGAACTTATCTGCGCTCCCATTGGCATTCGCTGGGTTGTGTCATTGTGCATTTTCATTAAGTTCAACTTTGCTTAACTTTGTCTCTCTCGCTAATGCTGCCTCAGATCGCCAGCCCTCATGGAAAATGAATGACTTCTGGTTGCTGTGTTGCTGCAAAGCGCTGTCAGTGTGAATGCGTTTAACATTAATGAAATAGCATTTATTGCTTTAGTCAGGACACGGTGTAAACCAAACGCTGACTCTATCCTTACAGATGAAATATATTATGTTTTCACTGATTACATTTCTCCTATCCCGGTTTAATGTGCAGAGTCAACTTTACTGAGCCTCATTTTCCCCTAAAGGGAATTTGAGTGTATTTTGTTTTGCAGTATTTAGACATTTGGCAGTGCATTTACTGTATTTATTTGATGAAAAATACAGTAATATTGTGACATATTACAATTGAAAATAATTGTACTTTTTAATAGATTTTAGAATGTAATTTATTCATTGTTTTTCGGAAATCTTTCTAATATGCCGATTTCGCGCTGAAAAAGCAGAAATAATAAATTTTCTCAGGATTTTTGATTAAATAGCTTTTGATCAATTTAATGCATCCTTGTGAAATAAAAGTATTAATTTAAATAAAGTATTGATTTATCCATACATTCTTTTTTATTAAATTACATACAGGTTAGGGGGCAAGATTAATTTTAATCACTTTTTTTTCATAATTTATCACATACAAATGAATGTTTTAAATGCATTGACCCCAGAAAATAAGACATTATTTACTCTCTATATGGATCATGTTTCCATGATATACCCAAAACGCTTTAAATTTAGCTTACTTGTGTGGCCATTTCATCAATTCTGTCTCCAAAGTAGCTCGCTCCGAAGCTCAGTAACACAAGTGTATGTGTGTGCTTGTGTCTGCTCATGTGTGTGTTTTAAAGCTCTGAAATATCTCTTCAACCAGACACCAAATTAGTTCACAGCTTGCAATAAAATAATATATTGTGACAATCCCCTGCCTGTTAATCTCTCCTAACCTTCTCCACACTCTCTCTCTTGTCTAAGTCCCGCCCTCACAGCCGTACATCCAGCTGGAGTCTGATGAGCCGTGGGTGGAGGGAGACGAATACACGGTGACCTGCATCGCTCCTGATGCAAAACCTCCTGCAGAAATCACCATGTTCAGAGGTACGCCGTCACTTAAGAGCCCGACTCTTTATTATGTCCATTAAGTGGGGCTCTTATGAGAGAATTACACTGTAGATACACAACACCGATAAAAGATGAAAACTCTCGCTGGGAGCTTTCAAAGCAGTGGCTGTAAACTCAAACCAAGAGACTTCATGATTCATTTACTAAGTTTGTGTCACGCCATCCCTTGGCAAGAAGTACCCCGAGGCAGCCTACTGACTCTATAACTTCTGGGGGTTTTTTTTCTTTCTTTTTTCTCAGATGTAGAGGAGCTGACGGAACCCGATTCTTTCACAATGTCAGGCTCACAGGATAAACTTCTGAACACTCATGCTGAAGTCATGTAAGTCTGTGTGCGAACAATGAAGGTGTAGAAGGCTCTTTGCAGTTGAATTCTTGTCACCACTTTACCTTTTATTGTATGTCCTTCACAATTTGTCATTTTAAAATTTGAAAATAACTAAGGTCATGTTTTTATGTACTGTATATAAAGGCAAAGACGCAAAGGTTGGAAGAGATTGACCTCTTGAAAAATTTTAAATTTTTTAACTTTCAATATTTCATTTATATTTCACCAACATGTCTATTTTTTATTGAGGGACAGTGGTGTAGTGATAGGGCAATAGGCCTTTGGGTATTCAAGCAATATTTCAAGGAACAGTTATCCCAAAAATGTAAATTCTCATATGTATCCACCTTCATGTCATTCCAAACCTGTATGTTTTTATTTCTTCTATGAAATACAGCAGATGTTTATCAGAAGGTCCAGGCTATATTTCCAGTGTAGCTCCCAAATCTCATTCATGATTGCGTTTAATTTAAATAGTATTTATATTTAGAGGTGGGAAACTGCCAGTATACCTTTTCTGCAACATTTTATAGACTTTTAAAGATATTTAGCTGCACTGCCCTGCTTTTAATGTCACTACGGAAAGGTTTTATTCAGAAATTTCTACTTAAATGTTATTATTTTATTTTTAATTATTTAAAAGGTCTCACCAGGAGAATTTCTACGAGATATATTTTAAATATCTGTCACTTTCTTTGAATAGAAAGTAAAAACAACAGCATTTATTTGAAATAGAATTATTTTGAAACATTAACTGAACTTACTGGACCCAAATAAATATATAAATCAGAATAAAAAATCAAATATGCCATATGTCAGTCATGACACTTTATAATAAATGATGCTTGTGTCTTCTTGAGCTGGCACATTTTACTTTGTACACAAGTGTAATTGTAAGATTTGAGAGCTACAGCACAGGGAAAGATTAAGTGAATTCTGATCTAAATCCTCAAGCAGAGCTGTCATATGGCTTCAGAAGACTTGAAATATAGCCCCAAAGTGTCACTTCATTTTTTTTATATATATTTGGAACTTGAAAGCCTCACTTTCACTTTTACTTTTATTGTATGCAAATGAGCAGCCTGGACATTCTGCTTAACGTCTCCTTTTTTGTCATACAAAAGAGAGAATATCATACCAGATGAAATGATGTGCGAAATGACACTGGACTTGTAGAGTCTTCCGTACCGGATTCAGTAGTGTTGCTACCTACATGTTTTCTTTATTAAAACCTCTTTTTAACTTTACATGCAGCATAATTACCTAGACTGACCCAGATTTTGCAACCTCATAAATGTTTAGTCTATATGGGCAAATCCTGAAATCCATGTGGAGTTTTTTTTTTTTTTCAGAATATCTTCTGCATTCCACTTTTGCTGCACTATTGAATAAGGTATTGCAGACAAAACAAATCTTGAAGGCCAGGTACTGTACAGTTAAGTGAACGCTGGCAGCACTCCAGGCTGGCAAATGGAGTAAAGTTATCAGCTCAGTGGGTTTGTGGGTAATTGTGGCAACATCGGGGATGAGAGAGTGCCACAGTGTGAAACGCATTAACGCAATTCAACCCCGCTCTCTCTTTACAGCATCAGGGCACGAAGTTCAGACAACGCACGGCAGCTGACATGTCGAGCGAAGAACCCAGCTGCTCCTCGAGCTCTCGAGACTAGCATGACCATGAGGGTATACTGTAAGAACCCTGCCATTGTGTAAATTCACACTGAATGTGTTTACGACTAATTACTCCTAATCATTAATGGTAATATGTATTTTTTATTTTTGTGTGTGATGGGAAGAGCCAGTGGATTTGGTATGTGAAATCTCAGGTCGAGCAGAGTTTAATTAAATGGAGCACACACTGTAAATAATGAAAACCACCATGACTTTGAATTCATCGATTTTCTCGCACAGTTCTGAGTTCATGGCCACAGCTGTGTGACTCGTAGTCAATTGGGCCTTTTTCCTGTCAAGTAATACTCTTGGTCCTTTCACTATGAAAAGAAATTTGCCCTTCACTCTGAGATGATAACACAAGTACAAAGAGTACACCCTGAACCATTAAAGTCAACATGAAGCACTGTCTACCATTTTACTTCCACGATGTGACTTATTTTCATGAGAAACAAGATATTCAATGAGAAATTTTTTTTGATTTTATTAATTGGCTATTGTGAAATGTGGTTTTTAAATAACTGTTAGTCAAGTCGAAATGTTATTTAAAATCTAAATACATTAGGTTACAACAACAAAATTGTTTAAGGTTTGGTTTAGATGGAAATAACTCCTTAAAATCATAGTTCACCCCAAAATGAAAAATGTGTCATCATTTAGGCTACTCATTATTATATGGAGCTCCTAAAGGGATATGGTGATGGTAAAAAAAAAAAAAAATGCAGAGTTTCTCGGAGGAACACAAATGGTTTACGAGCAAACACAAAAGGGCCATATTTTAACGATAAGCGCATGGTCTAAAGCGCACGGGCACTTAGGGTGTGTCCGAATCCACTTTTGCTAGTTTAACGACGGGAAAAACGGTCATAGCCCGGCACATGGTCCAAAAGGGTTGTACCTATTCTCTTAATGAGTCATGGTTGTGTTTTGGGCGTAGCGTGCAATAAACCAATCAGAGTCTCAACTCCCATTCTCTTTAAGGCCAGTTGCGCTCGCGCCATGGTGTATTCGCTATTTACATGGCGGAATTTGCAAGAGCAAAGACTGAACGCTTGTCCAGAGAGGAAACGGATCTGCTCGTGCACAAGGTTAAAGCGCGCGAGCAGACCATCTACGGGGCACATTAATAATTTACATTGTAATCCTTTCATTTTTTATATTTGGCATGTTTGTGCGCTGTTGCGCGTCCCTGTGTGTGTAATAAGCAGAGTGTACTTGCATCGTTCACTCGCCTATAGGCGCATATTACTAACGCGCTCTTTAATTAACAAAAAATAAAAAATATTGCGCAATTGACTTTAGACCAGATTTCAGTTGGTCAATGGCGCAGTCTATTTCAGTTGCCTCAAAATAGCAACGTGCCACCAATGCACCTGAACACACCTCGTTTTCAGACCAGCACACCCATAGGCGCACAAATGGGCGCAAATGCATTTGCTATTTAAACAATGTGGCGCAGGACATGAAAATGATAACTGCCTCAGGCTGAAACTAGGAAAAAACACTTGTGCCGCGCCTGGCGCCGCATTGCGCCAGGTGTATGATAGGGCCCAAAGTTTCTAGGTCAGATGCAATATTTTTGTGAGTGAAGTGAACACAGAGTTTTATGAGAGAATGCAAAGTTTGTCAGGGAAACGTAACATTTTTGCAAGAGAACGCAAATGTTTTGCGAGCCAACCCGACACTTCTTGTGAGAATGCAATATTTTAGAGAGTAAAAATCTGTTTTGCTAGAGAATGCAAACTTTCTTGGAAGAACTTAGTACTTTTGCGAGAGACCACAAATGTTTTATGAGTGAACACAAAGATTCTCAGGAGAATGCAATACTTTTGCGAGAGAACGCAAATGTTTTATGAATGAACGCAAAGATTCTCAGGAGAACTCAATACTTTTGCGAGAGAACGCAAATGTTTTGAGAGAGAAAGCTAATTTTCTCAGGGAAACTCAATACTTTTGCGAGAGAATGCAAAAGTGTTGCGAGGGAACACAAAATAATTAAAATACTCCTCCCAGCTTATGTTTTTCCATCACCTTGTCACATTAGGGGCTCTGTATCATTTCAAACCTTGCTTTCTTCTGCAAAACATAAAAGATACACTTTAAAAAAAAAAATGTTGTCCATACAATTAAAAGGACTGTTAATGGGATTCAAAACCACATTGAACTCCACTGACTTTTATGTTATGGACAAGAAACAGTGAGACATTTTTCACAATATCTTTTGTGCAAACTTTTTTGGTGAACTATCCCTTTGAGGAATCAATCGCAGGTTGCCATGGTCTACCAAGTAGGGTTGATTTTTGTTTCATGTTGACTTCAAAAAGAAACACTTTTCAAATCAGTTTTAGTGCATCATGTTTCACCACATAATTTTTCTGTTTTAAGTCACTTTGTAAGCTTATCTGTTATGTTATTAGGTGAGCTTTGATGCAGCCTAATGCACATTTTAAATTCCATGTGATATGATGCATTTCACAGACATAAGCTTCTACCGAAATTTCGATTTAATACTTCTTATGTTTAGGTGACCAGCTAAGAGACCCGTCATTTTAGCTTTAGGATCCCAAACTATTCTAGATTGATTAAGGGTTCGGAATATCTTCCATTTTCTATTTTTTAAAATCGCTGGATTAACCACTCTCTTATTTACACGTTTCATCTTTGTCCTGACTCCGCGTATATTATCTAACGTTAAGTTCAAGTCAATAATATCAGAAGTACTCCGTGGATCGGCATCTCCTCCACTCCTCCAACCGGCCGACACGAGCGAGCCCACCGACAACCCCGCCGAGCCCAAGATCTCCACGCCAACACCCGAGCCCAACTCCGTCTCGGACGGCCCCCGAAACACACGCGGTGGGCCACCAAACCCGTTTAGGTTATCAACAGGCCGCTCGACTTTCATGAACCCCACACCAGCAGCGACGTCTCGGGCAGGCCCGACATCCGCAGCAGCGCCCATCGAACCAGAACAAGGATTAGTTGGTTGAGTATTTTCATATGCAGCAGATTGTGAGCAAGACGGCACTTTGTCATGGCAGACTCTCATTCGTCCATCGCGCCCGCTTGATTGGGGCAATAACAAAGAGTGACCCAACCCCATAATTTATTTTATGGCAAATGTATTATTCAGGAGCCCCACTGTAATTTATTCATGTTCCACATTGACTTATTACAGTTTAAACATCTGTTATTTTGGTTTATGGACTGGTGCCAGTGTGTGGGTCACTCTTTATACTTAATGGTTTCATCAAAGGGACAAGCGATGTCTTCCCGCTGCACTGGCATTAAATATCCTCGATTTAACAATGTTGTACGGGACTAAAATAGAGTCATGCTCTTCCTGAAACTTGTGGTCGTTTTTCTACCCTTCTCTTTCTTCTTCTTCCTCCATTTCCTCTCTCTTCACTGGCACTAACATGAAAAGAAGCCCGTCTTCACAGAACAAAGGCGAGATCTTTTGTTTTAATAATATTTTCCCTCCTTCTCGCACACGAACCATTCCTCTTTTCATTTCTTCTCGTGAGCCGTGCTGCGATGCATGCGAATACATACGAATGATTCGAACTTCTATTGATGTCGTAACCCTTCATTCACTTCCTTCAGTTCCCCCGCAGGCTCCGGTGATCATGGGATTAGAAAATGAAGAGGTCAAAGCTGGTTCCTTTCTCAGGGTGGTGTGCATGTCGTACGGGGGCAACCCACTGGCCACTCTGCATTGGACTAAGGTGAGAGAAATATGAGAAGTTCATCCTTGGTTGCCCCTTTTCTTTTTCCGGAATAATTACTTGGCCTCTTCCTTTGCTTGAATAGGATACGAAATAAGACCTTGAGTTTGTTTTATAGTTATCGATTAAAATGTTATTTCCCACAAATTAAAGAAAGATATTTTTTTAACAGTAACACTTTACAAAAAGTAACAATAACTAGCATTAACAATTAGCAATACATTTTTTACAGTATTTATAAATTTTTTGTAGCATCAAATATAACTGTTCTTTGTTAGTTCATGTTAACTCAGGTCCATTATATTGAAGATACAACTTTTGATATTAATAATGTACTGGTAAATGTTGAAAATAAAATTAACTAAGATTAATACATTCTTTAGAAGTATTTTTTCATTGCGTTAATGTTAAGTAATGTAGATAACTAATGGTAACAAATGGAACCTTATTGTAAAATGTTACGGTTTTTGTTACCGTTACAAATGCATTGAACACAAATACATTTGTTTAAAAAAATTGAATTAATAAAATTAGTCTAAATGTTGTTTCCTATGTCACAATTTTAAGAAATATTACATATTTTTTTATAATTAGGGAAAACCATGTGGTTACAGGGTTTAATGCAAAATGTGGGACATATGTAAGCATGTATTGTTATAATTATTAGAAATATGAATTATTGTTTATTGTATTTTCCTTTATACTGTATATATATATATATATATATACACGTATGTATGTTTATTTTTAGGCCGACACGAGCGAGCCCACCGACAACCCCGCCGAGCCCAAGATCTCCACGCCAACACCCGAGCCCAACTCCGTCTCGGACGGCCCCCGAAACACACGCCGTGGGCCACCAAACCCGTTTAGGTGTATATGTACTACAATATATTGAATATTAAACAGATTATGTCAATTAATTATTAATAATAATTTATTATTGTATGTTGCTGTAATTGTTGATACAGTACAATTGTGAAGGTCAAGACCTCTGAGGTGGGAGAATCCAAAATCATTACTTTTTGGGTAGAGGATATTAGGTTAATTTTATTATGGAATAGAACAAACCAAAGAACAAAAAACGTAAAAAGTCACGGGACACCAAATTTTACTGTCCAAATGTTACGTTAAGCAGGTAGCTGTTAGATGAAAAATGATGGAATGCTTCATTCAACCATGCGAGAGCTGTTTACCAAAATGCTTTGCAGGCCAATTACCATGAATGTAATGCCAAAAGGTCACAGTGGAACATAGGTTGCTAAAGTAATTTGAAGGTAGAATCTGGCAGGTGCACCAGTGGTTGTTATATTCTCGAAATTGTCTCAACCTCAGGAATTATGAAGCATTAGCGTCTCAAACAGCTTAATAAATGTGATGCAAAGCTTCAGTGCCACTGAAAATTCTGCTGAGACTGTGTCAGAGGACTAACTCAAGATAACAGCGTGCATATGTTCACAAAGAGAGACTATGCTGTGAGCACAGAATGAAGAAAAACAGAGCTTTTTTATAAAGGCCATTCAACATTTCTTAAAGACACTCTGAGAGTGGCTCTCGGGTAATGTTAAGTGAACTGCCCTAGTATAAATTTTTCTCTTAAATAGGACATTAAGAAACTATGATAAATGTATTTTTTTTAATTCACCCATTTATTTTAGTTTGTTTGTTTGTGTGTGTGTGTGTGTGTGTGTGTGTGTGTGCGCGCGAGAGAGTCTGTGCGTGAGTGAATGACTAAACTCAGCAAGCCTAGGGGAAAGCTGAGAGCTGCAACCAAGAACTTTATTAAACGTCTGTGTTTAGAGACAGAGAGAAGATGTCAAGCTTTAAATCATTTGCAAGTGAAGTCTAGACTGCTGAATCTACTTTTCAATTCATGTAGTGTCCCGCAGACAGACTCACAGTGGAGACTCAATTTACTTTGATAAAATGTGTCAGTCCTGACATCTCTAATAATTTTCAGCTAATGCAAATGTTAGCGTCTGCAACACTGTTGACTGGATGACTGATCTCAGACACAAATGTCTTTTTCTAGAAGTAAAGTTGGCTTCTATCTATCATCTATCTATCTATCTATCTATCTATCTATCTATCTATCTATCTTATCTGTCTGTCTGTCTGTCTATCTCTATGTCTGTCTGTCTGTCTGTCTGTCTGTCTGTCTATCTGTCTGTCTGTCTGTCTGTCTGTCTGCCAGCCCGCCCGTCCTTCAGTTCATCTATCCATATATCTGTTCATCTGTCTGATCTGTCTGTCCATATATGTCTATTCATATGTCTATATGTCTATTGTCTATCTATATGTTTGTCTGCCTTTCTATCCATCATTTATCCATCCATTCATTCTCCTATCCATCTATCTATCTGTGTCATCACTTTTCTCTTTTTCAGAACGGAGAAGTCCTGTCCACTAGCTGGGAAGAGGACGTTGTGTCACGTCGGTCCAGTAGTGTGTTGAAAATGACGGTGAAGCAAGAGGACAATCATGCTGTGCTGCGGTGCGAGAGCGTCAACCAAGTGTCTCGTTCACCAATGTCCCTCACACGCACTCTGAGCGTCCTTTGTGAGTAGTCCAGAACACATTATAGCTCTTAATCTTAAAAAACTTCTGCTCAAAAACCCATCAAACTTCTAAGAAGGCCACAAGCCTCTTGTTGCTAGTAGTTTTCAAAATAGCCTTAAAACAAAAGCTTGATCTTTCATGACACGCTGTCCCTTACCATAAGCCAATTACACATGGCTGTATCATGGCTGACAAGTAAATCAGGTCAATACTTGCTGCTACTTCCAGTTTCTGTAATCTTTCATTAACAGAAGATGGTTCATGACGGTCTTGTTACAACAAATTCCAATGTCAAACAACCCTTTCTTATCTCAAATCTACTTCTGTCAGGACCACTATCGTCAAAGATGATTGACAATTAGCATACAGTTTGAATTGGCGGTATGGTTCTGTTCTGGGCAAGAACTCCCTGCGCATCCATGCAGCCTAGCATGGATGAGAGCAGGGAGAGCAGCGATAACCCCCCTCCCCCAGGGTAAACAGAACAGAACCAACATAAATGTTTTGCGGATATCGTTAAAGTTCAATAATTTTATGTACACATTTTAGAATTAGTCTGATTCAAAGGATAATCAGAAGGCTGAATCCTGACTGACAGAGGAGGAGCTGGGGATGGAGGAGGGTAATTAGCTATTGAGCAATACGAAAACTGCTGATAATACTGAGGGACCTTATATATGAATGCTTAGATAGGTGTCATATTCCTATAGGTAGATTGGGATCAGCTGATGCGAGCTTGACTGACGTGACCTGCCAGAACTAACGCTACACTTGATTTTCATTGGCACATACCTCTTATTGAGAATATTTCCTAGTGCACACAAATACTGATGTCAGTTGGGTGTTATTAGAAGATCTCTCTAGACACTTCACTCGCCATTTCATTGATCAGCTAGATCATTATTTCTGGACTGTAAGAGGATCATGAGAACATATCTTAATGGCCTCAGATCTGTTGTGGCATGACTAGCTTGTTTAAACAATTTGCTGGAGAGATCTGCCGACTGTCCATTTATCTTGCTTCTCTTTCTGTTGTGGTGTTCACTTTTCCTCACAGTTGAGCCAGCCAAGGTAGCGCTACTAGGCTCCTTTGAAGCCATAGAGGGAGAGGAGATCAATCTGCTCTGTTACACTTCCTCTAGTAATCCTCCGGTCCACATCCGCTGGTGGCTCGGGTTCAGGGAGCTCAACAGTACGGATGTTACCATCTCTGAGGTATTTAACCTAACACTTTACAGTCAAAATCGAGGATGTGAAACTCTTCTCTTACAAAAATGGCCATAGTTTTTGACCATTGTTTTGTACATTATTGACACAGACTTTACCTTTTCTGATCCGCTTCGGCTCTTTTCAGCAAATTTTTTTTTTTTTTTTTTTTGACACTGTTTCTGTGTCTTGCTTTTGATAGGTCCATCTAAACACTTTCACAAGCCATTATGCCAACAATGAAAAGCTTTGTGAGGTGTAGCCCCTGATTAATGGAATAATTCTCGATTATTGTGTGAAATAAAGCCAGCGAGCCTTGACCCGAGAGTGATTCAAAGTCTCCATCAAGACTCTGCTTTTACTTTAGATTCTATTAGTTACTACATAATATTCTGTGAGATCAGGGGCTTTTAGAGTCTCTCTCTTTTTTTTTTATCTCGCGCTCTTCCTCTCCAGAGGTTGATTTGAATGAAACATAAGTGAATAAAAGCCGACCTGAGGCTGCTCGGCGCTTCACAGGACCCTCCTTGTTCATTTGGAGGTGTTTTACATCTGATCTTACATTTAGATGCTGGTGTTAATTTATTATTTTCTTTTTTTTTCCCTCAGAGCTACTTTTTATGAGATGAAACTAATACAAATATATATATATATATATATATATATATATTTCAAAACCTTGGCTTTGCTAAGTTTGCCTCACTTAAATGTTTATGGTCGTTTAGTGAGATTATAAGAGCCACAATGGACGCCAACGCTTTTGTCAAAATGATTTTCTTTGCATTTAATCATCAAATCACATGAACTACAGTATCTCTGATTAAACAATTGATGCACAAGGTCAGTTTCAAGCATGTCTACCATTAAAGAGACAGTAAGTCACTGTAGCATAATTTAATGTTTCCACTCCTGTGTGCAAAGAGTACACTTTTCCTTATAATAGCCCTTTACACAGACCATATATTATGCTGCTCAATAAAAATGAAAGGTCTCATGAAATATTTGTGTTGCAGGGGGATAATGGTGGGATGATGACGATGTCTAACTTGACGCATAAAGTGTCACGTGAGGACAACGGTCTTTCTCTGACTTGTGAGGCGTTCAACAAAGGCACCCACTTCTCTAGCGTTCGGTCTGAAGAGCTCATTGTTTACTGTGAGTGACCGCTAACATTTTTATCTAACATTCAGGTAGAATGATCCCTGATACATTCATTAATGCTGTTGCTTAACTACCAAGGTCATAGGTTTGATTCCCAAGAACTTTATTTTTTTAAGAAATTAATACTTATTTTCAACATGGATGCATTAGATTGATCAAAAGTGACAAGACATTTAAAATTTCACAAAAAAATTCAAATTCAAATAAATGCTGTTCTTTTGAACTCTCTGTTCATCATAGAATCCTGAAAAAAATATATGTTGCAGTTTCCACAAAAATATTAAGCAGCACAACTGTTTTAACATTGATAATAGTAAGAAATGTTTCTTGAGCAGCAAATCAGCATATTAGAATGATTTCTGACGGATCATGTGACACTGAAGACTGGAGTAATGATGCTGAAAATTCAGCTTTGATCACAGGAATACATTAAATTTTTAAATATATATTTTTAAAGAAAACAGTTATTTTAAATTGAATTAATATTTCACAATATTACTGTTTTTACTATATTTTATTTGAATAAATGCAGCCTTGGTGAGCGTAAGAGACTTCTTTCAAAAATATTTAACAAGTATTACAGATCCCACACTTTTGAACAGTGGTGTATTTTGAGACAAATGTATACCATGAGCCCATTATAACTTTATCTAAAATAAATGTAAATTTAATAATGTGCTTTTTTGCAAATATCTCAGCAATGTGCTTATTGGAGTATTAGTTCAGTTGATGTCTGTTCCTCTTATCCCATTCTTTTTTTAACAGATCCTCCTCAGAAGGTGTGGATAGATGCTCCTCCACCGAACGTCTTCTTACACTCTGGGACAACTCTTCGTTTGGTCTGTTTCTCCAGTGGTGGCAATCCCACAGGTCAGCTGGTCTGGTTGAAGGTGTGTAGTGGTATGAACGTTTTTCATGACAGTTACAGATATGTTTTTTTAGCTCTGCCATTAAATAATCCTCCATGTCTGTGTGCACCTACCGCTGTGACTCCTCCAACAAAGCCAAGAAAGTTCTGTCTGCCCAGACCAAACTCAGGGTTCTGTGTATGTTTAGAAAAAAACACACACCATACAGTGATGCTAAACCACTTTTTTTTTTTT